GTCAATAGAGAATCACCGGCCTATAATTGCTTCAAATCAATCAAAAAAAGTAAATAAATAAATAATAATTGTCATTTTCTCTATTCGAGCAAGAGAAAGACGGAGAAAAAGTCTCCTTTCATTCTTTCGTTTTTTTGTCTTTTTTCTACGTATTATTTCGGCTTTTAAAGTTAAAAACCGGACTTCTCTATTAAGCTAATTTCTTTTCTATTACGCATTTGACTTTTTTTTTAAAAGGACATTGTCTATTCTTGATCAATTTCTCTTTCTAATTTTGTTTTTTTATTGTTTTATTAATTAAACGAAAAAAAATAAATTGGTCGTTTGATTCCTGTTTCGTACGTGTAAGAAAAGGACTATTTTGGAAATAATCGAAAAATAAAGAGGATTAGGACTAAAATACATTCACCAGAGACACAAAAGAGAATAAATGGGAAGAAAAGAAAGACAAACAAGAAAGAGAAACAGAAAACCAACACAATTTCCTCCAAAAAAACGAAAAATTTTCACCTTCCATTATGAAACCCGCTCAAGCCATCGACGAAAACAAACCCCCTAAATCCCCTAAAATTCCCCTAAATTCATCATCTTTCCTCACGAAAATCCGGTCCAGACACTCACCACGATCACGCCGTTGCTGAGGCCGCTCATGGTGGCGAATCAAGCGACAAATCGAGAGAAAAAGCGGAGAAAATCGTCCTCGTGAATCTCCTGCGTGCGTCTTCCTGCCTCGCTTGTCACAACACGACTTTTGGCGCGAAAACCATATGGTCGCGACGGGTTTCATTCGAGAGTGAATTTTTTTTGCGGTTTTCTGTTATTTTCGGGTTGTTTGGGGCTGTTTTGGGCGTGTTTGGGTTCTGTGGGAGGGTGTTGGTTGTTGTTTTTTGTGATGTTGAGAAGGGATTTGGTTTGTTTTTGAGTTTGTTGAATTGAAATTAAAACTTTTTTGATGGGGTTTCGTTTGGTTTATTTTGTGTTTTGTAGTTTTTATGCTTATTTTGGGTTGTTTTCACATTCTGGGAAGATAAGTTTTCTTTTGTTTTATTATATTTTGATAGACTGTTATTCATACTATTTGCCTGGTGATATTCCGGTTGAAATATTTTGGCGCGAATCGCTTTGGCTCCAATTCATTTTTTTCTCTTTACTCTAACAGGATCATTTATTTTTAGCTCTTTCTACATCCTTTTCGTTGGCATAATTAAAAGAGTCCTAGCTAGCGAGAAGTAAAAAAAATATCTATGTGATTATTATCAATATCATTTATATAGAAGTTCCTTGACCCCGAGTTCCTATAATTCACTGATGCGTTGAATACTTGTTTATTTCTTTTCTCCTCTCTTTTCTTTGGGATTTTATTTATCTAGGATTCTCGTGTGTAAGTGATTCATTGTATTCCATCACCATTTTGTTTTGATTTTCTTATTACATAATGATAATAATAAAAGTTAGTACAACTGGGATGTTGATTCTATGGATGCATTTAATACTTAAGCCTTTTTCCTTTTCTTGCCTTTTTCGCGATTATATAATCACTGTAGCCTGAGCGGTGTTTTTTATTATAAAACCGAAGCTTTCATGGCTTGCTCAAGGTTATGAAAGTACATTTTGATTTGTTCTCGAAATGTATAGACTTAGCTTATAATCGTTAGCACTAACAAATTTCCATTTATCTTTTACTTAATTTTCACTCATATTTCATACAACTATTGATCTAAAGAATATTATAGTCTTGCTAAAGCATCTTCAAAAAGTTTTCCGATATTAAACTATTGAAATTATTATGATATGATTAGATTAGTAATGATGGTGCTGAGAACAATAATGATGATAATGATGATGTTGATAATGATAATGATAATGATGATAGCAATAAAGATTATGATAATAACAATGATATTAGTAGTATTGATAATGATAATAATAATGATGATATGATAATAATAATAATGATAATAATAATAATAATAATAATAATAATAATAATAATTATTATTATTATTATTATTATTATTATAATAATATAATAATAATATAATAATAATAATAATAATAATAATAATGATAATGATAATGATAATGATAATGATAATGATAATGATGATAATGATAATGATAATAATAACAATGGTAACAATGATAATAATGATAAGGAGGATAATAATGATGATAATAATGACAATAATAACAATGATAACAACAATAGATAATAATTATGATAATGACGATAAAAATAGTTATAACAAATAATGATGATAATAGTAATAATAATGATAAGAGTAATAAAATAATAAAATGCTGTTACAGAACTATAATGATGATAATGATAATACAACAATGTTAATCAACAACAATAAACATAAATGATAGTAATGATCATTTAATGCTAAAATTACGGAAGATATATCATGATAATAATGATGATGAATACGTAAATAACAATAATCGCATAAGTAATGAAATAACAATAATGATATAATAATAATTACGATCGACT